TCCACACCAGGTGAGCTTGAAAAATATGCCCGGCCACGGTGGGATTCGAACCTACGACCTTTGGAACACTAGCCCAATGCTCTTACTCGAACCGTCCTGACCGCGTAGCTCAGTTGGAAGAGCATTGGGCAAGTGTTCCAAAGGTCGTAGGTTCGAATCCCACCGTGGCCGGGCATATTTTTCAAGCTCACCCGGTGTGGATATACACTCAGAGTAACATCACAAATATCATATTCACGTACCTGAGTACACAACACCAACACAGAAAAAATCATATTACTAGAATACATTGGTATCGAAAGAACTAGATTCTGTTCCGAAATATCACTTACTCGAACCGTCCTGACCGCGTAGCTCAGTTGGAAGAGCATTGGGCTAGTGTTCTAAAGGTCGTAGGTTCGAATCCCACCGTGGCCGGCCATATTTTTCAAGCTCACCCGGTGTGAATATACACTCAGAGTAACATCACAAATATCATATTCACCTGAGTACACAACACCAACACAGAAAAAATCGGATTAGAATTTACTCGCCCATCTGAATGCAGATAGTGTATGGGGACAAGGACACGATCGTTAAATTGGAGAATTTGAGCTGACTGGGTCAAGTCTGGCCACACTAAAAACGGTGTCCGCACCACTTTGCCCAAAATGCCAGATTAAAACGAGGGCAGAGCCTCGGATTAAAGTGCATTAAAATATTTGCATTAAATGAGGGTAAAGCCTCTAACAAAATCTCGACGAAGCGAGAGGTTTTGAAACCAAAAATACTAGATCGTCAACTTTCGATAGGTAAATGATCAGAGTTATCGGAGAAAAGTATTCCATTTGTGCTAGATTCTATATTTTCAATATCATTGGTAAAAATATTGTCAATTAGTGTGGCTGTATGTTTTTAAGAGACTCTAATTTTAATAGAACAATATTGAAATCCCCCATAAGATAGCATATTTTATTTTCCTGATCTATTTTGCCTAATATTTGATTCATTCTCTTTTCAAATAAATCAAATTTTCTATTTGGTGGTCTGTATATTACACCTAGGCTACTCTTATATTTTTACCAACAGCTGTTACAAGTTCAATAAAAATAGATTCAACTAATAATTTCCATCGGGTCATTCCACGCCAAATCGACTAAACTTCCTGCACAAGCATTACAGATTTAGTTGATTTTTGGTACACTTTTAGATCATTATATATTTAGAATTTGTGTGAATTTTTGCTAGATGACATTAAGTATTTCAGGAAATATAAGCAAAACACTGCGTGATTGTCAATGGCGGAAGTCGCCATTTTGACAGAATTTGTAATTTCGGCATAATTCGCACATCAATATCTCGTTTATCACTCAACATATTAAGAAAAAAATTGGTAGAGTAGTAAATCTGAGACTGCTCTTCTAAACCAATACATCGTTTAATGTATGTGATGAAGGATGTCGTAAATAACGGGGGATCAACATACTGGCTGAATGGAAAAAATACAAATTCGTCGTAGATTTGAACTATAATATCTTGGAAGATATCTGCCTAGGTGCATTCATGTTATCCACACATAAAAACAAGCCTTCAAAGAATTCTTATTAGCAATAATAGCCCGTTATAATTAGTCAGACGTTAAAAATACCGATTTAAATTGCGGCAATTTTTGGATGTGTCTTCTTTTCGACGAGGGAAGTAAGCATGTGGGACTAATCGGACAAACTCAAGATTTCACTGTATTAAAGCAAATGTTACGCTAAATCTGTGGTAGAAATTTCATTATTGTCCTCTGACTGGTTCGATGTTAACGAGCGACCTAAAAATTAATTTGGTGTTTTTCACTAATTCAGTAATTGAATTCAAATGTAAACAAACAAATTCTGAATTGCATGAAGCGCAGTAACTAAGCCGGTGATTTTGTTATCAATCTACTGGTCCTTTTCTAGTATTCTCTATGTCCGCCAAAAAGTCACAAATGCGAGAAATAATTGATATAAAACATTCTTTTTAAGTCTTTATACCGTCCATATATATCGCCTGATGAATAATATTAATATAATTCTTTCAATTGTTATTTATATGCATGTCAAATGTCAATCACGCCAAAGTGACTTCCATCAGAATGTTAATTGTCTTAATATTAATTAAAGCTATCTGATATTTTTCGACCATGTATTTATGAATGTACTAGAGTAAATTGTGCATAGCTGAATTACCTTAATAACAACTAAATAGTAGCTGTTAGGCTATATTGTACAGTTTATAGTACTGCAGATCAGCTGTTCCTTTAGGGAGTGTTCATTATTTATGATTGGGGGGGGGGGTGAAATCATAGGGGATCGGGGCAAAAACATTGGTGTTTATATTTTGGGGGGCACCAGAGTTTTTTTGGGGGGCCTCAGAGTAATTGAGGGGGGGGGGGTCATAAAAGTTTTAGTTTTGGCAAATGTTTTGACCTCGTTAAAATATCTGTAGAACATGAACATGAAAATTTGAATTATTAAATGGATGCAAGTTTACAGGAGCTTTTGCACTATTACTAACGTCATAAAATAAAGACTTTTTAATTTTTTAACTAATATTGTGCATACCATATTTATACATTTGTACTGTGTTTTATATAAAACAGGGGGGCATAAAGGCTTTTGTCTTTTCTGGAGGGGGGGTCATGTGAGTTTTGCCGTTGCCAGAGGGGGGTCATGTAGATATTGAGAGGGAGGAAGTGTGAAATGCCGCCCCCCCCCCGAAACCCTAAATAATGAACACTCCTTAAAATACCTCAGTTCACCCGTAGATGGAGCTAGAGAAGGCCTGTCGGGCGTCTTGTACAAACTGATTTTCTCAAGTTTAAATTACAAATCAGTTTTTAACTATTTTCAACATGAATACCAATGAGATGTCATGGTCAATTGTAGTAACAATCTAAAAATTTGTTAAAGCTGTCTTCAATCATCTCAATTGCTGGACTGTTAAGTTTGTATTGTTTGATTCGACCCTTTGTGATCTGCAACGGCTCTTGCACGGTACATAGCACATGCTCAAAAGGAGTCCAACATTCATCTCGTGTTGATGGCCATACGAACGAGTGG